TCTGCCTCATAACACCTCATATCCAGAATCTTTTGGTGAGGTTGCATTATCTTAGCCCAAACTGATTTATTTGCGTTTGTCCTGGGTTATCGAGACGAGCGAATGAAAATAAAACATTTTATTCTCTCGTCGGCTTACTAACTGAGAGCCTCAGAACAAGGCTAATTCTGGCTAAAATTGAATGAATGAGCTATGGCTTAGTCCCGTCGATGAACTAGTATTAATTCGCGACCCTAGCTGTAATAATACCTGATCGTGTTGCATCCAAGGATGTATCTTCATCGTAGAGAACTGCAAAAACTATGCATAATACTCTTAACCTCCAAGTGGTCAACAGTAGTATCCTCATTACTTTTTAAATTTTAAAGCAGAAGGGCCATCCCCATTTCATTTTTTCGAACTCGAAGAGAATCGTAATCATTTTTTTCATTTTTTTGCTGATGACGTCGCTCATTGGGATTACCGGCAGATAAAACCGGGACTGATTCAGCGACAAGCTTTTAATACCCGAACACACAGTGTGGGGTTTCAATAATTGTTGTATCTAGTATTAGAGGCATCTGAATGACCAATTTCAGTCTTCGGCAAACATTCTTCTCTCGTTGGTACAAATATAGCAAAAGCTGCACTACTTTCTTTGACAACTTCTCCACGATCTTTTGACTGTCAAAAGGTACTTGATATTAGCCTTGGCAAAGACAGCATTTGGAGTACCATACTGCCGTGGGAATCAGTCAAGTTTTAGTGGATCTTTGGTTTGGTAGCCTTCGAGAAAACATACAGCCCGTCCTAATCGTCCACCAATTAATTGTGCGTTTTTCAACAACTAGCTCAATCACAATTAATTAAAATCGCCCTCGCCTGCTGATAATCTTTGATCTGTTTTGGTTGAATTTGTCTTTTTAAAATTCACCCATTGCATAATATCCAAAAGCTTTTTTCTGTTCACTAAAAGGAAGAAAAATGTGCAGCTTTTGCAGTTTCAAAAAGCGGATTCCATACCACCTCACACTACTTCACTAACAATGATTACATANCTCGAAGAGAATCGTAATCATTTTTTTCATTTTTTTGCTGATGACGTCGCTCATTGGGATTACCGGCAGATAAAACCGGGACTGATTCAGCGACAAGCTTTTAATACCCGAACACACAGTGTGGGGTTTCAATAATTGTTGTATCTAGTATTAGAGGCATCTGAATGACCAATTTCAGTCTTCGGCAAACATTCTTCTCTCGTTGGTACAAATATAGCAAAAGCTGCACTACTTTCTTTGACAACTTCTCCACGATCTTTTGACTGTCAAAAGGTACTTGATATTAGCCTTGGCAAAGACAGCATTTGGAGTACCATACTGCCGTGGGAATCAGTCAAGTTTTAGTGGATCTTTGGTTTGGTAGCCTTCGAGAAAACATACAGCCCGTCCTAATCGTCCACCAATTAATTGTGCGTTTTTCAACAACTAGCTCAATCACAATTAATTAAAATCGCCCACGCCTGCTGATAATCTTTGATCTGTTTTGGTTGAATTTGTCTTTTTAAAATTCACCCATTGCATAATATCCAAAAGCTTTTTTCTGTTCACTAAAAGGAAGAAAAATGTGCAGCTTTTGCAGTTTCAAAAAGCGGATTCCATACCACCTCACACTACTTCACTAACAATGATTACATAAAATTCACGAAACCTGAATTTGGAAACTTTTGATCGATCTGTTACGAATTCTGTTGTGTTGCAAAATTTATAACTTCAGAATAATCAAATTAAGCCCTTGGGGGAAAAAAAACGAAAAGAGTTTCAAACTTCCAATGTAAGTGACTGTTGTCAGCAAATTCGCGCGTGAAACCATGTATGCTTCCTATCATTAGCGAAATTACTTTCATGTACAAACCAAGGTGTAGTTTAAGTGTTTAGAAACATCACAAAAATTATATATGGAAATGTTGCATTAAGTCAAGGTCAAGTCTAGTGTTTTGAGGCGGCTTGATCCGGTTTTTAGGTAACAATACACTGGGACTGACAACAGCGACGGCTACGAAAACGTCACTTAAAACGGGGATTCGCGTTTTTTCAAGCTTTATCGCCCTTATTCCATCTTGTTCAATTCGCCAAATGTTGGCGAACGTTTCTGGGGTTGAATTTTAAAGGACTGTGTCGAAGTTAAAGAAAAGAAAGAGAAAGTCGTTGATTGTGTTCGAGTCCTCTACAAAACGTGAAATTAGGCAGTTTCACGTCGTAATCGTGCAGTGACGGCTAGAAAGGCACATGAAGCGAACCAATCTAAACCTATTCCTTTTTTGCCATTTTCGTTGTTGTCGCTGTCGTCTTGCTGGTTCCTGAGAGGCCGATTAGCGCTAATCAAGGATTGAAATTTTGTTCTACTTTTTGCATTTACCTTTCTATGTATTGCCTAGAGTAACGTTTTGTGTTATCATAACTATATCTCAGTAAGTAGTGAGTAAAGGCTCAATTACAGTATGTCGTAAGTTTGAGTTGCATGGAAACCTTGCTTAAAATTTGGCTTAATCTTGGGTTAAACGTAACCATCTTCTAACAACCGGGCTACACTACACAACTATGCGCTACACTGCAGCATATCACCTCAAGCAGTTGATTTTTTCCGTGCTAATATCTTAAGCAAACTGTATTTCGCTCCCTCCTTCAACAGATGTGACAGGACATTCGCTTCTGATTCGGATTCATGAAGACGCCAGCCTTTATAGTAATCACGTGGTTATTATCGCGACAATACACAGCGAAATAGAATGCGGAGTGCTCTGTTCACATGACCCGAGCTGTAGGTCTTTCAATGTCTGTGGAAATGTAAATAAACTTCGCTTAAGCAATGCCACTTATCAGGACTTCAAAGACGATCTTCATTGGAAAATCTTGTGTTCATATTACTGTGCAGTTATTTGAACTGCTCGTCAGCAGCTTGTGATGGACTGTATCATTATGCGGGCTATCCTCTTCTTTCTTTCATAACAAAGGACAAGGTAACTCCGAAAATAAAGGATATTGCTTTTCTAATCGCAATGTGTTTATTTTCAGTAAGAGACAGCAACGTTTGCGTTAACCTGTGCTGCACAAAAAAGTACTACATTCAAAAATATACGNCGTAACCATCTTCTAACAACCGGGCTACACTACACAACTATGCGCTACACTGCAGCATATCACCTCAAGCAGTTGATTTTTTCCGTGCTAATATCTTAAGCAAACTGTATTTCGCTCCCTCTTTCAACAGATGTGACAGGACATTCGCTTCTGATTCGGATTCATGAAGACGCCAGCCTTTATAGTAATCACGTGGTTATTATCGCGACAATACACAGCGAAATAGAATGCGGAGTGCTCTGTTCACATGACCCGAGCTGTAGGTCTTTCAATGTCTGTGGAAATGTAAATAAACTTCGCTTAAGCAATGCCACTTATCAGGACTTCAAAGACGATCTTCATTGGAAAATCTTGTGTTCATATTACTGTGCAGTTATTTGAACTGCTCGTCAGCAGCTTGTGATGGACTGTATCATTATGCGCACTATCCTCTTCTTTCTTTCATAACAAAGGACAAGGTAACTCCGAAAATAAAGGATATTGCTTTTCTAATCGCAGTGTGTTTATTTTCAGTAAGAGACATCAACGTTTTCGTTAACCTGTGCTGCACAAAAAAGTACTTCATTCAAAAATATCCGTCGTATACCACGATGATTCGTACATTTTGTTAGAGTATCGAGACTATCGTACCTTCCTCTGAAAAACCATTATGATTAATTGTTATTATTATCATTGTTATCATTGATGGTATTATTAAAAAAAATAAACCATGGAATTTAGTCATAAAGGCCATGACATAAACATAAAATCTACAATTCACTAATCTATTGAAATACTCCGTGTTTGCATTAATTTTTATACAATTCTGCTAGCACCCCTGCATATATAGGAAAGCATTCTGGATGTCCTGAAAGCTCTTTTGAACACTTTCAACTTGGATAGGTGAACCTTTTCTTAAGCTTTGGGGCTCTACTGTCGTGCTTCTTGGACATTCGCCGAAAATCGAGTGAAAGCGTATATTAATATGAGTCAGTGGAAGCCGCGCTACAGTTGACTTTCGAAAAAGTATTTGAAATGCATGTTTTCTACGTATTTTTAAGAATCTCGATGGGTTTCATATAAAACAGAAACAATCAAGAAAATCCATAATGTTTTGGAGCAGATTGACATTGTGCAGTTTCAAACTAACTAAGAAGTGATACAGTCTTCGTGCACTACTCTGTTTGAAATATTTGGATCTCATTAATGGGTTCTTTGTCATCAAAAATTTGTGGACTAACACGTTAATAAAAACTCCGCTGAGTGGCGGCTAATGTATGGCTCGATCAGGGGTTTATTTAATAAAACTTTTACAGTTGTAGTTTACAGGTGTAGCCATTGTTTTAGACTCCGAAAGCAACAGCTACTCTTGTAAATATGAATTACAGTTGTAAAAGTTTTATTAAATTGACCCCAGTACTGTAGAATACTTACAAAAAATCAACTGTCGATTCATTGTCGTCATTCATGAAATGCCGCAAAGAAAGTTTTCCTTTAAATGGTTAAAAATCTATTCAGGTTTTCATCAAGTAAAATTTATGTATTAATGTAAAGCTAGTTATGTAAGTAACTCAGTGTTACAACATTGTCTAAACATTTGTAGCCTGAGAAAACAGGCGACATTTCTCGATGCCACCACTGCTTTCCCCGCAAAAAGACGTCTATTAAAGGAACAGTACGTACGAAATTTCTATACTGATGACGTGTCACTACCCAGATGTGGATAGTGCTTCTAATTGGTTAAAGCAAATTTTCAACCAATCAAAAACACTACCCACATAAGGGTGGTGACGCGTCATCAGTATGAAATATCTGCTCGTTTTAATGGACGTCATTTCACGAGGATTCCAGCGACGGCGCCGAGAAATGTCGAGTTTTTTCTCAGGCTAGTACATTTGAAGACATTTAACTTTGCTCTGCCATGTGTAATTCCTCTCTGCCTTCTTTTTTCGGACCCTCACGGCCTGTCGCCCATGGCTGCAACTCGGCCGACATCAACAGACAAAAGAGAAACATTCCTACGACATATATAACAAACGTGATCCAGAACACTGTCCGCCATTCTTCAGCTTTCTAAAGTGGGAGAAAAAAACGCTCTTTTGTCAGCTAAAAAATGTTGGACAACAGTGTGTTTAGAAAAAAAATACCATGAAATCACGAACTTTTTTCTTCATGTTTTGATGGATGGCGGAGATCACTCGGCGAAAATCCGTCCACGCCGCCGAAAAGAGTCCCTAGTATTGTAAACTTGCCAAGTTTGGAAGTGATACGCCAAACGTTTAGCGAAGGTATAGCTCTCCAAAGCTAGCGAAGTTTTACCGGCAGACGATTGTATGGTAAGACTGGTAAGTGGTAAGTAGATGTCCCTCACCCTACAAACGGTGGTAAAATCTTACGAGTTTTCTTCCTTTTAAACAAATCACTTTTAAACTTGGCAATTTTATTGAACAATTAATGAATGGGGCTGAGTATCTTATGAAGAATTATGGAAATCAAGGAGGGTGTTACGGCGTCGACGGATAACACCCTCCGAGATCTCCATAATTCTTCATATGATACGAAAGCCAAATGTTAAGTTCATCTTCGATAGTGCACGTTTAGGGTTGTTCAGCTCCGCAAATATTCTCCAAATAGCAGATGCCGCCCTTCGAGTTGTCTTCTTGCTGTTCTTGCCATGTTTTTAGCTATTTTTCGCCTAGTTCTTACTCTTATAAACGAGTGAAATGTCCGCCATTTTTCAAGTTCACAACCAAAACAAACCCAACCTCCTTCCCAGGTCTTCTTGGTCAACGGTGCATTAACCTGTAGAAGGCCGCATTTTTGATGTCATTTCCTTGTTAAACACAAAATTCTTTCAAATCTGGTCATCAGTAACTGGTTATGGTGAATTATGCGTGTGCTTTTAGCCAATCAGAATTGAGGAAATATTTTGAATGAATAATAATATCCCTTAAAGGGGCTTATTCATTTAAAGAATGTTTGTGGCGGGTGGGGGGAAGGGGCACCAAACTTAATTAATTTAGGGAAGAGGATGGTATCAATTCTCCATAAAGAACTAGAATGCAAAGTGGGAAAGCTCAACTACAAGAAGTTGGAGGTCATGAAGCCGAAAATCAAATCCGAACTTCCACCTCATGAATAAACCGTACTGGATGATCATTTCACATGAAGTGTTATAGGGGTGATTAATTAATACAGTCTATCAGTTAAGAATACGGAGGAAGGGAGGGGAGGTGGCTTAAAAGAGAGAAGGGGTAGCTTATAACAGAGGACTGGGCCTAATATAACAGAAGATTTCAGTATTTATAGTCTCTGTTTGCAGCTGTGTTGACGGAATTTCACTAAATGGCCCATATCAAAATTAACGTTGAAAAAATCGTTGGAGGATCTGTTGAATGTAAGTCACTGACCTTATTCACAGTAATAAATCCAACCATCATAGGACTGAGAAAACCAGTTATTGTTCCCACTGTGTTGGTCAGACCCATGATTATACAAGCATACCGCGGAGCAATATCTAACATGTTAACATTATACCCAGAATGCATCAATCCAGAGGCAGCGACGCCGATACACATACACGTGACCGCTATTGTGGCTGTTTTGGCGTAACCCGCGGCAACAATGAATGTGCCTGCTCCCAAGGCGCCTGAGATTAAAGAAAATGTTAAGGATAAAGAATTAATTTGTTGGAACTTCGAACTGAATAGAATTGAGATGTACCCAACAGGGGCCAGTAAATAGAATATGAAATAAAGTTGTCATGTTAGATGATGATAATAGTAATAATAATAATAATAATAATAATAATAATGATAATAATAAAATATTTCTGACGCGCCTTTTTCATGCAAATATGATCAAAAGCAGTCTTGTGATTGGTTGACGTCAATGATGTTCAGAGCCTTATATTATGCGTGGTTTATAAAATGGATAATTAGGGAAAACGAAGGCTTTTTTGGTTTTGTTGGGATCTAAATTTGTTAGAATCCGTTGTTTTTGCTATTTTAGTAAAAGGGTAATTAGGGAAAACTAAGTCAAAACTTTTTTGAGTTTGAGTGATGGCTTTGGGAAATTAAATAAATCTCTAAAATTTCATCCTACACCCCACCCCCCCCCCCCCCCCCGCCCCCTCAACATTCCCTTCTCTAAAGCAGAGCCCAAGAGCCGGTAGATCGCTCCTTGTTAGACTAAAGCCCGAGTTTCAAGACTATCCTTACCAACAGCAAAATATAGCCTTCTGACAGATCTGGTACTTAGTCCTCTCCTTTGCAAGAGATCAGCCGTAATGCCACCAAAGGGGCCCGAGAGAGCTTTCACCAAGAACGGCGTGGCAGCGAGGAAACCCATCTGCGCTCAAGTAAGATAAGGGAATAATCAACCGGTCCAAAATAGTGGACACTTCTATGATTGCTAGTAAATCAACTTTTTAAAAATAATTCTAAAGATCCAATGTGAACAGCTAATGTTTATTTTGTAAATAATAAATGGTGGTTGAGGATCAAATAAATACAAACAAACGAACAGCCATCTTCAAGAGAGAATGAGCTTAGATCATTCTCTCTTGCCATCTTACAGTCGAACGTCCTTAATACGAGCGTAAAAAGGAGGAACGCAAGTTCCCCATTACAGAGGTTATTTCTTATTCAGAAGCATTTAGATTCGAGGACGACAACCAGGACGAGATTTGAGAAAGTTTTTTTTACTTATTCTTAAAAAAATTAAATAGACACCCTGGAATGCTTCTTTTCGCTTTTCTGCACCCGAAAAGTCTATAAGGTTATTATTATTGAATGAGGTTAAACGCTCTATCGATCGTAAAACGTTTTCCCGCCAAAGTGAGGCTGATTCACGCTCGCGCAGTTCTTAGTATTGCAATTCAGAAAATCTCGTTCTCGCAGTCGTCCTCGTCTTAGAATCTAAAGGTCTCTTATGCTAGTCTGTACCAAAAGAAAATAATCTATTCTCTCTTGTCTGGACCAAAGCTAATGTTTGGAATGGACAGATTTCCATACAGAGGTAACCGTAGCCTTTCGAACATGAAATCAAGTGGTCAAACAATTAGTCTATACCATCTATCAATCAATGTTTTGCCTTTGAGGTTTGCATACCGTCTGTATATCGAAGTGTAAGATATCAAGAAGGAACATTGGCAAGCAGATAAGAATGGTGTATAGCCCCCAGTCTGAGGACAGGTTGCCAAACATAATTCCCCACACCGGAACTGATGTCAGAATGGACTTCCATGGAATCGCTGCATTTTCCTAAATCGTAAACAAAACAACTTAAATTAAAATAGAACAACGTAACTATCGAAACGTATGCATCGCTTGACAATGCGGTAGCAGCGCGCGGTCTCACTGGCTACTTCGACGACACATGATATTATCATATATGATGAATGTCTATCTCAACAAATGTCTCTGAGCGGGTCAGAATTGTAGTTTTTACTCATGAGTTTTGACCCCCACTTTGTTTCATAGTCGATCGACTTAATTCTTTTTTGTTCTAAATCAAAAAATCACTATATGACTGGTCCGAAGGTTGATTTTTCTTCTCTCCACTCTAAATGAGATGTAGTTTTTCTGGAGAAAACGTTAACATTTTTCCTTTAATTTATCTCATGATTATCTGACTTTAAACTAAGTCATATATAATTTTAAAAGACTTGCTATTTTGACTGCAAGACGTATGTTTTAAGAACATATAATTATGTAGTTGTGACCTTAATGCCACACAATATTCTGACTTACGTTTCCTTTATCAAAGCTTCGTTCGATGTAATTTCTCTCATCTTCTGAAATAGTTGGATGTACTGAAGGTGAATCGTGAACAACCAGCTGCCAGGCTACGAACCACAGTATTCCAGCCGCTCCTGCATGACAACATAATGTAGCAGTTAGGAGTATATATTGCTACCAGAGGTTATTCTTCCATAACTTAGACAATTAGCAAGACAAATTTGGTTGCTTTAAGGCGTATTAAAAAGAAAATAGCCTCAAAAACGGCTTTGCTTTAGGGCCTTTATTGCAGGTACCCATTTAGGATGTATGGACATTGGTAGATAGAGAAAGTGAGAAGCTAAAACGCCATAATGCATAGCCTGACCAAATTTAAGTCCTAACCACCAGATACGAAGTGGGAAGCGTTCTATTCATAGAGGAAATCATTTCACCATAAAATGTTTAGATGTCTGATAAAACTTCTAGTTTTTCAATCCTTAATTTCACCTTATAAATGTTAAATTAACAATGTTAAATGCCATGATACTTATTTTCTTGGTTTTTCTCGACGCTGGACTCACCGAAGCAATAAAATACCGATGCCCAGCCTCCATCAAAACCATACATTGTTAACAGTCCAGATAATGGCATGGTTATGATGGTGCCCACGTGACAACCTAATAGACAATAATAAAAAGAGATTTTCAGTCAAATGAAGATATGATCGTCGCAGTAGTAGTAGCTTTTTAAGCAATTGCGAATCAGATCAAAACAAACTTTTGGGTGCTTCGTTGGTATTCCAGCCTATGGCCTTTGCAGCGCTATACCAGATGAGCTATGAAGACCCACAAATTGGGAGCACGCCAATTTGTTGAGTTCATTTTATAAATGATACATGGAATGAAGATGGTATAAGCTGCGGATTCCATGTTAAATGATGATATTCTCGTCGCTGTTGTAATAGCAATTTACGCAATTACAAATTAACCTGAAAAAAAAATTTAAAAAAATAAATGACAAAAATAATTAGACAGCAATGTCATAATAGCTGCGTAGCGGTGCCATTTTCTGAAAAACTAAGACAAAAAAGATTCTTCAGCACAGCAGCAAATTTCGATTTACTCTTCAATAATAAATTTCCTATTTATGTTCTTCTTAGCCTCAAAGGACATCATGGACTAGCAGCTCAACTAAAAATTTGACCAGGGAGATAATACTCGCTGCTACTACTCCAATATTTAAAGATGGCAAGCTCCGTGCAGTCTCACCTGAAATAGCCATGGTGACGAGTGTTGTTCTCTCCAAAGGCGGAGCCCATTTACTCCATATTGCGTGGTTACATGGAAAGACAGCGCCCTAAGCGATAAGTCAAAAAAGTACATCACCCTACATTTCATTTTCGGCACAGCAGTAACACAAAACGTACTAAGACAAGGTACTGCTGAACAGAAGATCTTTCATCTGAATGGTACACCATAGGATTTTATACACAGGCTCAAAAATTACAACTACAGACTAATCAAATAGTACTCAGTGAAAGTACTGTTAAAGAGGTTTAGTTTGAATGGTTACATGATAGGCTGATCAAGAATTTGGTCCACATACTCAAATGTTCAGTTAGGAGGACAATTAATGTCCTGTTTTAGAACTGATTAACTGGAAAGTTTCTCAGCTCTTAGGCTATGTTTACACGGCAGCGGACGAATTTTCGACCGGCTGAAAAATTTGACCGGACGATTCGTACACACTGAACTTTTCCATATATTTGCTCTGTTTACGGAAATGAAAACCGGCTTCAATTTTTGAAACTTTCATCAGTGGTTTTACCCATGCACAGAGCGCTACTTAGCAAATTTTAAATGAGCGTCTCCCAGCTGGGTGACCTAGCGTCTATTCAACCAATACCTTTGGGGTACAAAAACTTTAGATGGTCATGGTAATCACACCGCGCTGGTCATATTTTCGACATTATTGTCTAGAAATTTGACCTCGATTTTGGCATTCAAAATTTTAGAACGGCTAGCCGTCTAAATTTTCGTACGGTGAAAATAGTTTTGTGTTAATAGAACGCCTAAAAGCAATAATCTTCAACCTCGATCGACCGATCGCAAGAAAATTCGTCTTGTGTGGTTTGAACGTAGCCTCAGTCTTTGCTATTGGAGTCTCGTATTAAAAAAAGGTATTCCGGGCATACCAGCATAAGTCCTTCTCCTGCTCTGACAGCTATTAATCCATATACACTGTACCGAGTAGCCACAGGAGTCAGGAGAGTCAACATGGAGGCCAAGAAAATGGCATATCCAAATATCCTGGTGCCGCCAAGCTTGAGTGCGAGGTAGCCGCCAGGAATCTGTAGGAAGGCGTAACCATAGTAGAATGAACCTAAGACAATACCTATGAATAAAATCATATGATTGTTCTTTAGCAAGACGACTTGGAGGAACATAAGTAAACTTAAGCAAAGACATTTTTGAGCCAAGAACTTCAACCTTGCTCTCTTAGGCGGGGTTTTAGCGCGATTTCTTGTGCAAATTGTCTCTATATGAGTAAAGATGTTTGGCACTACAAATTAGCAACCGTCGAGGCATATCTGAAAAGTTTCATACCTTGGAGTTTTGAGTCCCAGTCAAACTCGGCTTCCTAACAAAACAGAACATCATAATAAGTTATCAACTGGAACTTAAGGTAACGACAGGCTTTCAATGGAAAATTAATCACACTTATACTTCGGTCTTTTTTTTAGTTAAATATCATTACCAATAAATAAGGTTAATATTGAGATGAGGGGGACGTTTCACAAAATTCCAAATTTATGTACCCTTGTATCTTTAGTCTATCCTGGATCCCCTACCAGAGCATAATTTTATTTTTGTTCGTTGGTGCTAAATGTACTGATCTGCAAATATATTTAGAGGCTGTTTACATGGAGGGAGGAAGATCCTAGTACCAGAAAGATCCTAGAAGGCGGACCATCGTTCCGGCATTTGTTTTCTGTTTTCGATATCAATACAAAGGGTTGTACTCGTTAAAAACGCTATAGGATTTTCCTAGAACTAGAAAGATCCTAGCACCATGTAAACTGCCTTCTCTAGAAAGATCCTTAAGTACTAGGGAAAAACCATCAAAAAATGGCGGCAGGTCGTTCAGTGGCTAATCATGGCAATATAAAGGCCGACCATTTCGTTTGGTGTTACCATGAGCTGATTATTATGATAATTCTGTTGAAAGGTAGTTATCAACGCCAGCAAAGAAAGCAGAAGGGTCCAAATTGCATTTTTGTTTTTTGTCACCCTCCATTTTTAATTCTTTCTCGACCCTTCTCCACTTGGGCACAACACGGACCGAAATTTCTGCATGTAAACCCGACTTAAAGTTGTTCCGCCTTCTAGGATCTCCCTCCCTCAATGTAAACAGCCCCTTAGCACATATTTCCGACGCACATGCAGGCTCGGTATCTGGTAGTTGGATGGCTGATTAAAAAAAAGGGCGTGCATGCCCATTGGATATGTACTTGCCATTGGGTAGAGCTTCTGGCTTAAGAAATGACAAAAGGAAAGCTAAGCCTGAAGCCGAGTAGAAATTTGGGGAGAGAAAGGGGCAGCTACGCCCGTTTATTTTCTCCCCTTCCCCCCAATTTTGTCCCTCCAACATTTATTTGTGACCCTCCACAGAATTCTGATGCTAAAGGTGAAAGCGCGCTCACGTCTTATGGTCTTACATTAAGAAACCTGTTTACATGCGCGCTGAAATAATTAAAGCATGATGTTTCACTGATTTAAGCCCTTGCGCCTTAGAAACTGCAAGGCCCAAGTGTATACAGCTCTTTCGAGAAAGGTTGCCGGTCAAAGACCTCGGACAACAAATGTGCACGCGACAATCCCGAAAGGTAGTATGGGATATGGTCAATACACTGTTCCTGACACTGTAGCTGTCAAACCTAATTTTGTTGCTCTCCTTTAGTACTCGTAAACATACGTCCATGGCCTCTTGAGCCACTCTTTCAAATTTCTTTGGAAACAGGGAACTTAAAACCACCCACAATAGCTTTCGGGATCGTCGCGTGCTTTTTTTCCAACAATCTTTCTCGAAATAGCTGTATGCATGACATGCAGGCGATATATGAACTTATCATGATTAACTTTTAAAATAATGCACTTAAGTAAGATTTAATTGTTACCTTACAATAAAATATAACACTGAAAGAGTGATTTCAGTCAACAAAAAAAACTATTAACCTGTTTTTAAATCAAAACAATAGATAACGCATGAATGTTTCATAGCAGACTTTCAGCTAAAAATAAGATAGCAATTATTTGCCATTTTAAAATTAGGACTGGCCTTAAAAGAACAAAGGAAAAAAGTAAATTCTTACCCGGATAACGGTGTAGCCTTTCTGGTGAATTGTATGATTATTCACCATAGCGCTGATAGCGACATTCAAATTAACACGCAAAGCGTACATGTTCATAAAACCAAGGAAAGTCATTATCATTAGGATATAACGTTTAGGAAAGCTAAAACTTCTGCTGACAGCGTCACCACCTCTATCGCAATCAGACTTTTCAGTTCTCTGCTCTCCATTGCCATTTGTTGACCGTGTCTTTCGTTTAATTTTAGGACATTCACAGAATTGACAAAGAACTAAAAATCTTGACATAAAGCGAAAACAAGCGTAGAGGCTGTTCAAGAATCGAGTTAGGCCTGACTCCAAGTTTCCAGTAGACTCTTTCATCTTGGAAGTTTCTTTCTAGGGCACATCATCTTGGCGTTATGGTGCGGAAAATATTCTCGGTGGACACCTTATCCACGTTTGGTCGGCCATATTGGGCTTTTTAAGGTGGTTCATTTATAATTTTATTTTCTGCTGGTACTTTCATACATTTACCTGCATATCTCTGGTTATAACCAAGCAACGCATTCTTTGTAAGTAATAATAATAAAAAAGGTTTCGTTAGAAACCTTTGTGACCTAAAACTTGTTTTATGGTAACAAACAAAGTTAGTCCTATAGCAGCTTAGGGTATTTTGCGGTGGTATGAACTAATATATAATGCCTTATTTTTTACTAGCAAACATTCTGTGTGACTGAGTTGAAAAGAATTCCACAGAACTTAAGGCCCCGCTCTGAACCTACCTAGAGCTATTCGTTGGACGCACCTCCGTTTCGGTTGACTGTTATATTGAAGTCAGTGAAACACAACAAGTTAAACCTCTGTATAGTGGGTAATAGAATCGACAAGAAGTCTGGGACGCCGATGAGAAGTGTTAGGAGGTTGCTCGATATGAGAGATATAAGATAGAAGTTGAGTTATAGTTTTATCTGCCTTAGACGAACGGTTTAAAAATTGCTGAGCTGATAACTATTTACAAGGAAAGCACAAAGCATTCTTTTTGTCAATCACCCAAGTTGATCAGGTTGGTTTAAAAAGGTATAAAGTAATTTAGACTGCTCTGGCGCGGTGCTTCTTATGAACTTCTTTGGAATGTTTCTCGTAAAACGATGGGACCTGGGGATGGGACAGAGTTTTTGGTAAGTCAGTTAAGCCACACTTTTTTAAGCAAGAGGGCGTTTTTTTCTGTTTTCTTTTACTTGAGGGTCTCAGTGGGGTAAACTGTCAGCCGTCAAAATCGGCCTAAAATTTAAACGTCAGCCTTCAAAAATGTAGAGTATTATTAACAGTGAAAAGAAAAGGTTCCTTTTTTCCCTCGCAGGTTACGTTGTAAACAGCCCCATTCTTCATCTGATAGCCAAATAAGATCCACTCTTCCTCAATTTTTCACAGGATCATTTGCGGTTCATGTTGGGGGTCATTTACGGTCAAGGATCATTTGCGGTCCATTTTGGGGATCATTTGCGGTACTGTACAGTACCATTTCTGTCAAAAATAGGATATCTAAGGGTAAGGAGTTGGACCTCGGGGGCGGAACCTCTCCGTATAAAATTGTTGGCAACCCCTCTGGAGTCAAAACAATAATTTTGAAAAGTGGACAATTTGACTTACAAGCCATAACTTTTCTTTTCTTGTGGGTACTAAGGGTGTTATTCACTGTATGCAAGATCCCACTACTTATTGGTAGTTTCTGACCCTTCGCTTACTGAACTCAGAAATAAATAAATAAATAAATAAATAAATAAATAAATAAACGAACAAGGAAATAGACAACAGAACTAATAAACGGTAAAATAAGCAATATTAGTATTTATCTTTTTATTGCTCTTTTAACACTCTTTTTGTGATATAGCTCTCTATATAGCTGTATATGCGCTTTATAAACAAGGTTCAGTGTCGTAACCCCTCAGATTAAAGGTGATGTTACACGGGACGATTCGCAACGACGATTTTTAGTGCAACACAGCTTTGTAACATTGTTGCGACATTGTTTCAAAGGGTTACAACATTGTTCCAACATTGCAACGCTGTGTTGGGCTAAAAATCGTCGTTGCGAATCGTCCCGTGTGACATCACCTTAACTAAACGAAGTTTAGAAATTCTTGAAGGACTTTTGAAAGTTTCCTTTAATTGATACGACGGTGGCTTAAATACGTGTACGTGTGGGTTTGAAGGAATAATGGTAAAACTCATTCAGCTAAGGGGAAGTAATACACTGGAAGTGAAAAATACATTTCTGTGTCTTAACAACTCGTAAATGGAAAATGAAAGCCTCGTTGTAAATTTCAGAAGATGAAGGGTGCATAAATATAAAGAGCGGTTCACAGATTCAGTATTAGTGCGAAAGAAATAAGCAAAAAATTCTTTAAATAGCGGTGAACTTTGGGAAATTTCCGGTCGAAAATTTAATATACTTAAAACCAAGGCAAAATTTTCTGAAAAGATAAGCTGTGATTTCAACAACGGAAGAAAAGGAGCGTAATACATTGGAACGGTTTAGTAGATTCATTCGTAAAACTTTTTAATCAGTAACAGCTAGAAAAATAACCAAATAGTCTACGTGACAACGACAGGCATTGCCAAACTTGCGAACCAATGACAGTCAAGACAACATTTCCTTTTCAAACCCAAGACCAGGTTTCATGAAGCATTTCAAGATAAAGGGGTGATTGGAGGGGGGCTTTTCCACCCTTTCCGTGTGTTTCTGTTTGTGTTTCTTATCCCGCTCGTAAGTAAATCCGCCCACACTACAGTAAATCCGCCCCGTACTACAGTGAAAAAAATTCTTCTTCGGGATATATGGAATAGAGCGTTTTTACTCACCTGGCCAGCATCTATGCTTATTTGCTGGTACAAAGAAAGTGTACAGTATACATAAAAAAAGAGAGTTCAACTCCCACAGGAATTGTTTGAGACAACAACATGGCTGCCGTTTCATTGTTTCAGAACGCTAATAAAGCCGGCGTGAAGTCATGTGAAAAAGCTCTATTGAGTCACTTTTTCTTAAAAGTTGCTTTATGCAACTGGACCCAGATCTAATATCTCTTTGGTCAAAAACCCCATAACAATTCTAACACTCTTATTAAGCGCTCAGGGGTACCAGTGACTGAGTAGTTTGCAGGCAGTCTAATCCGTATTTTTTCCCGTATTTTTGATGAAGTCAAATAAGGAAACAATTCTCGTTTCCTGACAATGCATGAGACACGCGGGGTACTCAGTTTAAGTTAAATTTTTACAGAGCAGCTCAAAATAATGTCCCCTCTAAGCTGTAATGTAAACGCCATGCAATGAAATTATAATTTTTTTATTCTGTGAGTAAAACCAACAACCTTCCAAAAAAGAATTAGCTACCAAGAAGTCTATCAATTAATTTTGGACTGTTGTTGAACTTGAACATATTCTTTAAGAGGTTAAAGATTTTTATTTCTGGTAACTAGGATGACATTTAGGCCTAGCCAGCATTATAACTTAAATCTGCGGATCATTATGGAGGAGATTCTTCTGTCTTTTGATCCTGTTTGCTTTCTTTCTTGTTCTCCTCTGTAGCTTTCTCGTCATCTTTCTTTTCTTCGTCCGATTTATCCTGCTTTTCTTCTCCTTTTTCCTCTTCTCCTCCCTTTTTGTCGTCCTCTTCCTCTTCCTTACTCGTGTTCGCCCACGGCTGCAATTTACCTGACACCAGCAAACCAAAGATCACGATACCGACGATATAGACTATCGCAGTGATCCAAAATACAATTCGCCATTCACCCGCAGTCTAAAGAAAGAATAATTAACATTTGAACAGTTTAATCAGTTCTATACTTATTATTTTACTTTTAAGTATATTATACTTTTTTAAATGCAAGAAAGAGTTTCACTGAAACAATGTTGACATGAGATGCTCCGGCCCTTAGAACTATTATTTTTTCTGGACAAAATTTTACTTCAATTCTTTATTCACCTGAGTCAAGAGTTAAATAAGTTTTTAAACTAGTGGAGATATTTGTTAGTTTCATTTTCATCTAAAACACGGGACATAATTACAGTCGACTCGCCGTTAACGGCCACCTCTCTACAAAGGCCACTTTTTTTCGTCCCGGTGGACAAAAAAAATCCATACATTGACTCTTGTTTAAAACGTTTCTGTTACGGCCACTATTTTCTGTCCCTACGGTGGCCGTTGTAAAGAGGTTCAACTGCAATCGTTAGCCCGTCTTTTTCAAGACGATGTTTCTTTCCATCATAGTTTTCCATGACCATTATATTATGAAAGAACATGAAACGAACATGAAATTTCTACCCTACGGCCTGTAGCCGTCTTGAATAAATTTTGGAGAGTATCTCCCTTTTGCCAGTGCTAAACAAGTAAAGCTTTCTCGACTTTTAAAGTTTTAGAAAGAAAAGATGATGTCACGGAATTTGATAATAATTGCATCGTTTTCAATCTAATCTTTATCTTCATAAGACAATAGGACAGTTGCATGATGACGTCATTTTACTACAACTACCAGAACCCTTGAGTTTGTTGTTTTCTTGTGCAAATTAAGGCTATTGTTCTTTAATCCGCAGCGGGATTAACAATTTAAATAACAAAGCAAAACCGAAATGAATTCTGGTAGTTGTGGTCAAATATCGTCATCGTGCAATTGTCCTATTGAAGAGGTTTGTTATTACCTTATTAGGAGTTAAAATCCCAACAATCTGCGGGCTGATAAAGCCTGGCGAAGCACCAAACACATTAGTTACACCCATGATTACGCCTGCGTACTGAGGCGCAATATCAAGAATGTTGACGGCGTAACCGGAAGCGTTCAGACCGGTGATACCGACACCAATAGTGAGGAAGGCGACAGCAAGAGCTGGAGACGAGGCGTAGCCAGTGATCAGTATAAATAACGACGCTGTTGTACAACCTGGAGGAAGGAAAATAAAACTCTCCATAAATTATAAACGAGCGGAAATGGGTTGGATTACGTCTACAACGCTAGCTATAAATAAAGAGTGAGACTGCTCGAACAATTCTTAGTCCTCGAATCCTTTAAGTGCTTACAATGAAAAAAGTATCGCCAATTTTTTGGTAACTTACGATGAAACTAAAGAGGGAGTGCGTCGGGTTCGTCAAGTCTCGCAATAACCAAAGTTTTTATTTTAAAACCTGCATGCGGGATAGGTAAAGTGTTCGAGAGGCAATAAACACCAACTATAATTTTTCTGTTCTTTCTGTTAGTAAGCAAATTTAAACGGAATTTTTTTTTACGATCTTGTCTCCTCTTTAAAGATAAGGTTCTATTTTCATTACTTTCGATAACAAAAAGTTGCTGACTCATTTTGAATGCTTTAAGGATGAATAATACCCTCATGAAGATCACACATATTATCTTGTCATCAATTGAATCCAAAGGTATTTCTTCAGCCACATGAAATTATTTATCTTACCAACTGTGAAAACGCATCTTCTGGTGTTCTTCACCGTCAGCTTGTTCTTAATGAGCCAGTCAACAAGAACTCCTCCTGCTGGCCCCACAAATGCCTTTACGACATATGGTAAGGCAGCTAGGAATCCTGTCTGTTAATCAAGGAATCAGAGGGACAGATTAATTTGGTATCCAAACATTTAACATTTGATGATTTATGAAAAGCGGACGTACGTTTCTTGTGCTGTGGGATATACATAACATCAATGACACAAACACCCCTTGCGTGCCAATTTTTAAGGGATCGTGACACGCAAAAACCTGTGGATTAGCCAATGTAAAGGTTTCAAACATAAATCAATTGTACAAGCATTCCTTGCGTACCTATTTTTGTATGTTTTTCTTAGGCCCCTCATACACAAATTAGTCTGCGTTGCCTAATTTGTGCTCCAAGCACCTCGTAGTTGTTTCTGTTAGTCTTTTTTTAAGGGCCCATTTAATCCGGAATACGTATGCATTACAGTTTTTTGATAAAAAAGTTACGCAGGTCAGTGACACAAGTACCCCTTGAAAACTTGTTTTCGTTACGTTTGGCATAGCACGTACCTTAGCAAGATCAAAGTGCAAAACCTCGATGAAATATTTAGGTAGACAGATCAGGATCGTGTACATGCCCCAGTCGGCGGTGAAGTTCGCCGTTATGATGGCCCACACGGGACCGGAAGTAAAAATAGATTTCCATGGAACTTGCCCTTTCTGAAATACGAAAAAAAAAATGATAGCAGGCTTAAGTTTGGTTCAAGTTTGCCTTAATCTAGTCATGTTGTGTATTCCTGTCTACTCGATTCATTTGTTACAAAGTAGAATACTTCTATCTTTTTGAAAAACTATAGAAAATTAAAATTCTGCAGTCAGGATAACTGCACATCTTCGAGACAAACGATTCATACCGTTAGTTAATCAAAAGTGGGAAAATGGTGACGTCGATTAAGCATTGGCCTTCTCACTAGACGAAATTAAAGAGAACTTTTTATGTTCTTGCGGTCCGCATCTAAGCAGCTTTTAGACCAACCTCGATCAATCACGAAAACTTAAGGGGACAAGGCTTTTTCAGTGTGTGCCCCTAAATTATGGAATTTACTACCATTAGATTTGCGTAAGTCACCATCTTTAACTGCTTTTAAGAAAGAATTGAAAACATATCTTTTTAAGCAATTTTTAGAGAGTGGGTTATTGTTTTCGCAAACTTTATGATTTTAAGACCTGTAATATAATGATTGTAAATAGATTTTTTAATATTTTTTGTGATATGTAAATTATTTCATTTTCCCTTTTTTACATTGTAAAGCGCTCAGGATATGAGCGCTATGTAAATAAAGTTATTATTATTATTATTATGTTTTAATGAAAAATAAACTGAATAAACTTCAACACATTGATATCAGTTAGAAATACTGCAAAGGCAGACCTCGCTGTTTTGATATCCATTTGGAACACTCTTCCACCTAGTGTTTATTACATCAACTCTCACTTTACCTTTGCAGGTGGTAGTTGTGCTATACTTTTTTCTATGAAGTCTCGTTCTTCAGGGGAAATGGTTGGATGCTCGGATGGAGAGCCGTGGATCGCTAGCTGCCAGACAAAGAACCACAAAAGGCCAATTGCACCTAAACAACCAATTGAAAGTCACTGTTTGATCACGCGGTATTTTACTTGTATTATTTCACCCTCCTTAAATATAATGAATTTGAACAAAATTTCATTTGTCTTCGAAGGCTAAAAAACAAAGGAAATTCTGAATCAAACTAGGCTGGAGAATGGTTTAGCTTGAGATTTTACATATTACCCACTACATGCACAGTTGTCAAGATTTTTTTGCCGGAACCCAGACAAAAATCATAAAAAAGTATCTGCTCGCAAATTTCGCTATTAAAATACGTTCATGAAAACAAAATCACGAGAACAGACACAGCGTAAAAAGAATAAACTAAAGGAAGAAATTAGGTTTTCAAAAACATAATACAATTGATGTTCTTACAGGCTCTTACCGAAGCAGTAGAAGACAGACGCCCAACCGCCATCAAAACCATATTTAGACATGATACCACTAAGCGGCATAGAGAGAATGGTACCAACTGGACAACCTTCATGTGAAAAAAAAACAAGCGCGTTAGGTTTCTTAATTAGTAGAGGCCTGTGGAAAATAAAAAGTGTTGATTTCAAGTATTTTTTTCGGAGACGATTAGTGCACCTCGATTTGGGTAAGTGAATCTTTTCATATCCGAGTTGCTACAAATCTGAATGTCAAAAAAGAACTAGATCTGATTAAGATGCCAAAACTTTTAACACCAATAAAATCTGACTTGTGTTTTCTGCTTGTTTATGACATGATTCAGTGTTAAATCCCCCGTGTGATGTATGAAAAACATTTTTTATATAATTCTTGCAGAGAATCGGAATCAGTATCGTTTGTCATCGGATTAACAAGCCAAAAGAACTGATAATACTCTGGAAAAATACCGGTCAGTCATACAAGACCCTAAAGCCCTCAACTCATGCAGAGACTTTTCTCTGCAGTGAAAGAGAGCTTAGTGCCATAAAGCTAAATCTTTTTCTCAGAGATTGTAAGGTTTGCCTAATGTTAAGATTTATTTATTTAATTATGATTAATTATACATTAGTTGTAAAATTGTCTCTTAATTATTTCATTTAGTTGGGGTGACCTCCTTTAAAGGGATTGTTAAATCCTGTTGGAGGTTTTCCCCAGTTTTCTTGAATACAATTATTTCCTTGTATTTTTATAAGTGCATGAAAATTTAGTAAAGCTAAAGTTAAAAACGGCTCTGAAACTCAGTTAAGGATTCAATAACCGGCACATCTCTACAGGGTGAGTTGAGAAAGGTCTTTGAATGGGGGCCTAAAAGTAAAAGATAACCACATAAATGACTTGATGGCTTTATTTACCTGCGACAGTGATCGTGAACAGTCGAGTCCTCTCTGCAGGCGGAGCCCATTTGCTCCAGATGGCGTGGTTACAAGGGAAAAGAGCTCCCTTGAAGGAACCAAAAAATCTCACAGTTACAACTAATGTTTGACTGAGAGTGGTTCTTTCATTACTGCGTTTTTCAAAAACACAAGAACTCTGAGGTTCAAAAGCCGCCTTCACAATTGCGTTTTTCGCTGCCGTCAATCATAATTACGAGCACAAGCAACGAACCTTGAATCACAGAAACACACAAAACGGATCGAAATCAACCAATCACAATTGATAAACCATAACCTTTTGAACTCGTTGAATAAAACTTCTATTTCCTAAGAGGTTCAACAAGATATGGTTGACGGCAGCGAAGAACGCAAACGTCGGCTGGCTTTTGAACTTTAGAATTCGCGTGTTTTTGAAAAGCGAGGTAAGTATAGAGATGAGAAAGAGTATGTAAAGTTACTGCAATTACTTCTGTCACTTCTCCTTTCCTTTCCTTTTACCCACAGCAATATTCACTCAACTTACTCTTTGAAACCGACAGTAACACATGGATAGTAGTTATTACAGCGGTAAGGTAAGAAAGGAGCCAAATAGAATTTACAGTTGAGAATTGATCTGGACCTTCGTTTCCATTTTGGATTTATCAGAACTGAAAGAGAAATGATTAAAAAAAAAAAAAAAAAAAAAAAAATTTCCAAATTTCCACCCCCTCCACCGGGGGAAAAGCCGAAAACGAAACCTTAAAAAAAAACCCAACTTTCCGAAACCCCCCAACAGGTCAACCCGCAAAAGACGAATAAAACAACTAGCGAGAAAATACCAACCTGTTAAGGCGCGACACACTATCCATCTTCATGTATTACACACTAATTAAAACATAAGTAGTAGTTTTAATACAGGAAAGTTAAGAAATGAGCCAAAAAAAGATTTCAATTGGTAATTGCTCTCCACCACTTTTTCCTCTTTTGAATTATAACAATAAAAAAAAAAATAATTAAAAAAAAAAAAAAAAAAAAAAACATTTCCGAATTTCCCATCCCTTCTGCGGTGGTAAGTGCGAAATCGTAACCTTGAGAAAAAAGCCGACTTTTCGCGACGCCACCACATGTTTCCCCGCGAAATGACGTCTGAGAAATGAGCGCAGAAATTCCATACTGATGACGCGTCACTACCCAGATTTGAGAAGTGACGCGTCATCAGTATGAAATTTCAGCGCTCGTTTCTCAGACGTCATTTGGCGGGGAAATCAGTGGTAGCGTCGCCAAATGTCGGCTGTTTTCTCAGGCTAGCGAAATCGTTTATATAAAACTAGTCTTCAAATCTCATTAAAAAAGGAAACAACAACAACAAACATTTATTTCATGTAAGAGTCTTGCAGCTGACAGAATTTTGAAAAGGGTAGTATCGGAGTTTGGAAAGCGAATGGTTTGTTAAAATCGAGGAAATTAGTTAAAGAACCTACCAACGCAAGCCCTTCTATCACCCTGAGAGTAATCAGTGCGGCTACACTTGTTCGTGCCGCTATTGGCGTTAGCATAGTCAGGATCGAAGCAATCCCGAGACAGATTCCGAACACTCTTGTCCCTCCGAACCGCTGACCAAGCCAGCCCCCTGGGATCTGCATAGCAGTGTAGCCGTAATAAAATGCGCCAAGAATTGTTCCTTTGTGAAAAAAAAAACGCGTTATCTTTAAAAAACAAGCAAGTGGTATTTCTATATGTATATCTTATCAACTTGTATCGTATTGGTCAGTTTGGGTCGACACCTGAGCCCGCTATACGGTCATGTAATACTGGTCAGTGGATACTTTGTTTTGACAGCTGTCAATGGATCACAACATTGATGTGCAATATCAGATTATAGGCTCCCACACTAGCATCACACTAGCCGGAAAGTATAACATTTCACACTAGTTTCCTTTGGTACGGGCGGGTGGACGTACGGTCAGGCGACTAGCAAATTTTCTTTCATGTGCGGGTAACCAAATTTTCTTAGCTATGGGGCTGTGCTATCACAGAGACTTAAAATGAGCGTAAGCGTTCTCATATCTTCAAGTTTGATCAATTTTGGGTCTAGTATTAGACTGACATTGCAAAATGCTGGCGGTAAAAACGTTGTTCATAAGTTACGTGCAAGCGGACGCAGCAACTCCCACCATTTTTGGGCCAACAATGCAATGTTGGGAGTTGTTGCGTCCTTGTTAGCTGTTGTATGCAAACGGATGCGACAACTCCGAACAACACGCAGCAACACTCAAAAACATGCAACAGGATGTGCAAACGGACGCAACATGTAACATCCAACAATGTTGGGAGTTATTGGCCATGGCCAACAATATTGTGTCCGGTTGCACGGGGCGTTTAGAAATAGTGTGTAACATACCCACCTTGCAGCTTTGAACTCCAATTGAATTCAGCTTTCTTTGAAGGAAAGATAAACGTTAGCGTAATTGCTACTTGTTATTTGCATGATCTGATTCCAGGGGATTTGTACAACATAAACTATACAATGTATCAGTATTTAAGAAAAACTTTAAAGGGAGAATTTTCTCTTTCTGGCTAATTACAACGCCGTATTTAAATTCATTTTTCAGGATTTTTCAGTTCTCTGTTTTTGCAAAAGACATTCTTCAAATAGGGAGTTTTTAAAAGTATAGTGAACATTGGATTTCCTGTCAAAATTTCTGTTTTATTGCAAAGCAAGATCACAAAAGACCTGTAGCACATACCTTCTGTATGGTGAAACCATTTTGTTGAATCGTATGGTTATTACACATAGCTCCAATGGCGACACTAAGATTTACTCGGAGAGCGTACTGCACGCAGATACCAAGGAAAATCATAATGGCTATGATATAACGTTTGGGAAAGCTGCTTTTCTTTCCATTGCTCTTTTCACTCTCCTCCCCTCCCCCCTCCACAGGGTCGGGCTGTGGTGTGTCTGTCATGATAAGACTGCTGAATAAATGTTACAAAGCGTTCTCGAGTGATTTGTAAACAAAATGTACATGTGACAGAGGTCTCAGAGTATGTCAGATAGATTGGATTGAATGTTTAGCGGGAAGATAACTAAAGAATTAACTTAGGTTAGAAGCTGAAGCTCAAGTTTTTAACAAAGCGACCACAATTCTCCATGGTCTATACTCTTATAGACTATAGAAATGACGTCATAAAATGTTCAAAACTCAAGTGGAACCACGAGCCGCAGGGACCCTTTGGGCCTCAGTTTGACTAAAAATAGGGGGGACCGGGCCCCCTGGGCCCCTCCCTTGGGTCCGCCACTGCCAAAAGCTATAATTTGATAGACTCTGTTTTATTCTGGACTCTTATTTTTCATCAAAGGCACTGATCAGTGGCAAATACATGCATGAAAGTACTGCCCAGCTCGGATTAAAACAAGACAAAAAACAATGAAAAGTTTGCACGACTCCGCAACTTTTAACGCTTTCGGTTGACAATTGATTGTCACAATTGTCTGACAATAATTTTTACTGTTTCTGCATCGCCGAGCTCTTTCACTGAACATCGAGAAAGCCACTTGCTGGAAAAATACGTTTAACTTTTTTTTTTCGTATTGGAGAAAATGGACAATGATTGTTTTTATGGCAGAATGGTCATGGTGAAGTAGCCGCAATAATTTGCCTTTACTGACAGAATAGATGCTGAACAACAGGTACCTGAAGAAAGGGACAATTAACTTTTGACCGTAGGAAGCCTCTCTCAGTTTCGGCGCCTTGTAATGCCTTACTCTACCTTTGATTGATCTCTCAAAACACCCTCTGTTTCTTTATATATGCGCTTTCTAGCTCTCTTACAGCCAATAAAAAGAAAGTTTTACCAGCGAACTTCCAGGTTGGATAGCTTAAATATCGCTCTAGCGATAATCACTCAAGGCTAAATTATTTAATAGCAGCCAGGATTCGGGGTTCTTAAGTACATAGTCGATTTCCCATTTGTTTTCACTAAATTTGTTTGATATAAGATTTTTAGAAAACCTTACATATTGTAGAAAACCTTAGACATTTTCGTACAGATTTTTTCGCGGCTATTAAAAGGAAAATAAAAACTGATTAACTAAACGATATTATTGGAGTGCCTTCTTTCTGTACTTGAACTAAAAACTTAAACCGACACCCTACAAAAAGGCTTCAATTTGAAAAGAAATGTCTTTTAAATTAGTTCATTTTATACTCGACCTTGAGTTAGCTTTTAAAGTAAAGGGAATATAATAATAACAGAATAATAAGATAATGCAATAATACGAAATGTAAGATTGTCAAGAACGCTGCGGCCGATAATCAAGAAAACTATTGCATCAGAATATGAAATGTCTTTGATCTAATTTCCCACTCTTCTAATAATATTTCATACCTAACACACAGAAAGCCCTATTTCTGCTGTCTGTGAGAGACAAAGCTTACCTTTAAGGAAAATCTGGTGTTGTATTTGTTAAAGTTGATATTTTTCTCAGTTTAACAGGTACATCTCTTAACTGTATATACTTGTCGTCGATAAGTTTCAAGGAACTCTTTCGTCGCTTAACACAATAGGATTATTTCTGTTTTTAAAAACAGAAAATTTCGGACGTCCTCAGACGGTTATGTTCCTCAAGTCGGCTCCTCGCTCAGTCGCTAATTTGACAATGGCAATATTTTTTTACGGATCAAAAATTCGGTGAGGAGAACCTGTCTTCTATAAATGGGCCGCCCCAGTCCACACCCTAATGGTTCTGTGTTTAACATTATAAATATTTCATTAAAAACACTGATGGTTTTAATGAACCGATTCTCCGGTTATTCTCTGCGAGGTAATGATAAAATTGGCTTTCTTTTAACAGTTTTCGGAAAAAGGAATACGGCACGGGAAAAGGGACAACTGAATTTTTAATCTCTATGAGAATCTGGGTTTTCAATGTTTTTCACAAGTATTGAGAGATGACAGAAGCTATCTTGGTTTGCAATCTCAACGATCTGCTGATCATGATTTACGATCCGTTCGGAGAAATGTTTTTACGGCCAGCGTATCCATTCAAATAAAGGTTTTTCTCCAGCTCAGGCATGTGAACAAAACACTGACATCTAGCGCTTTGATCTCTTTTCGACTTAGAAAATCAAAAATTACTTCGATTACTTCAATCTCTCTTAAACTGAATAGCCAGGGATATGCACGGTCATCGATGGTTCTTTATTGGCTTAAACATATTCAAAGGTGAACCCCTTGCAGGATAGAGCACGACGGGCTTTACATAGTTAAATCAAATGACCACGAGCAAACTGCGTTAATTTAGTAATACGTAAATTTGATTTTGCATTTGGTAGAAAGTTAAGTACAAGATTAGGAAGTGGAGAAGGGTAGCTTTTCATCTAGACATGCACAGCTACCCTCGGGGTATTGCACCTTTTGAGGTTGAAAATGCTAATAATCGGTACTGATAAGGATAACAGTGACAGTAATCTTTAATAATCACTTTATAGACCCATTTCCGGCTTTCATAATTGTTGGCTTACACCGGGAGCGAAGTTAGTTTCAAGTAAGTACTTGATGCAAGTGCACTTGGAAATCTTAAGTCGCTGTATGTGTAGAAGACATGACTTCACATTCGTGCACAAAGTATATTACTTGAAGTACAAGCTGTCAATCCTCTTTTATGATAAAATTAAATACCACCAATGAAGCTACAACCGCGAGGCCTTTGCGCTGAAAAAAGGGTTTTTCGTAGTTTCGTTTCTATTATATGATTGCTTTGAACTCAAACGGTTTTGACCCTGATAGCCATGCTTAAGTACTTCGTTTTTCTACGAGTACTTAACAGCGGCACAGAAAAAAAAATAAGCAAGCGACTTCTTCCTCTGTATTTCTTTAGAATGGCTCAACAACGCGCTCTTTGGCAAAGAAATTGCTGTAGGGATTGGGCGTGGCCTTTTCCGCAACGTTCTTAGCTAACCAGTTTAATGTTTATCTGTCCGCTTATTACTTAGCTTCACACTAGAGCTTCAAGTATAATGTAAGTGTACTTGGAACCTACTTTGAGTGTGAAGGGGTAAAATGTACATAATCAAACTTCACTGGGTGACCATGGAAACGTTCGTAGTTCAAAGACGCCGAAGTTCGCCGTAAAGTATGGGTTACACCACACTTGACCAAAAAGAAATGGACGCCACGTGCACGAGGTGCACGTGCACCGGTTCCAAGATTCTAATACTTGGCTTCACACTGGAAGCTAAGTTTGTTTCAAGTAATAAGCACTTGATTCAAGTTCATTTGGAAATCCCAAGTTGCTCTGTAGAAACATGGCTTCACACTTGTTGATAAGGTATATTACTTAAAGGAAAAGCTGTCAACTCTCCGTTCATTATCATTATCATCTTGAAACGGCTGCACGTGCACATCGTGCACATGGCTTTCATTTCTTCTTGGTCAAGCGTGTTCTCAAGTGTGGTGAAGACAAGATTCTAATGAACGGAGAGGTGACAGCTTTTCCTTTAAGTAGTATACTTTGTCAACGAGTGTGAGGGCATGTTCCTACAGAGCAACTTAGGATTTCCAAGTGCACTTGGATCAAGTGCTTACTTGAAACAAACTTAGCTGCTAAATTTCTGAATCTAAATTGATTAATGTTATTGTACTTCTCAGTAACATGCTGTACATACGAATTTTGGAACAAAACGAAATACTTCGCCTAAGACATGTTCTAGTATTGGTATCGCTGACTGATGAAGTGACAATGTTTGTGTGACTGCCGACAGCAAATGGTACATACACCGCAAATTAACGACACCTTGTCCCGGAGGGACCGCAATAAAGAGGTTAAGTTGGTATGAATTTGCTCCCAAGGGCCGAGATTTTGTGTCCGTTGTCCGTATTATAGAGGTTTTTTTTTAGAGGAAACGTATGAGAATTTTGTCGGTTCATAGGAAACTGTGCGTAATAGAGAGGTGTCCGTACCAAGGAGGTTGGACTGTATAGCCGGAACAGGTGAAGATGAAATTATGAACTATGAATCATATTGGAACGGAAGGATGGAGAAATACATGTAAAGAAGATCGTCTTAAACTGCGATGATCTTCACATTTTTTCTTCATCCCGCAATTCCAATATACGAAATTCAAATTTAAAAAAACATATGCATAATTTCAGTTTACTTTCTATTGTTTATTAAAAGAAATGGTTACTGTAGAGTTATTGTGTCCTGCAGTGTTCTTTTTACAATTTGAAAATGCATGTACATTTAAATTAAATATTAAAAATATATCCTGTTTCCTGATTGGTTTAAGCATGGTCGACGTCAGTCTTTCCTGAGTGTTCTGTTTTCCATATATAGGTATTTGCGGCATTACCGTGGTGGTTGGGTGGAATCGTAAAAGCATTCAGATTACACTTATAACGCCAATTTTGAAAAGCTTGCGCCGTCCGTCACTACCCACAATTTCCCATCAGTCTATAAGAATGTCATCCTCACCACTCCCTCCCGAACCATATGACCTGCATGCAATCACCTCAGGACCTACTGACACATGGCTTCAAAATATGTACAGATTTAAGGCACGACCAAAAAATTCTCCAATACCAGTTATGTTTGAACTGTATTCCCGCAAATGGTGTATTTCGGTACAGTACAATGGAGAGGCTGGTCGACCTTTATATATTTATCCCCCAGAAATAAAATGGTCGGCTTCGAGTAGTCTCTTATTTTTTCCTGTCAAAGCTACTCCACGCATAACCCATGCAAGCGAGCGGCTATAAACGAGTATTGTAACGTCGTGTGCAATAACGCTGGCTGGGATAAGAACTGGACGAATTTTGAGAGAAAAGGTGCACTACGAGCAGTCTAATAAAATGATGATGATGACGATGACGCACACCATGACGATGTTATAGCCTGTGAAGAGAGGTGAACGTTTTAGTTTCTGAGGTTTAACTGTATATTTCTTCACCAATTGATGATAAAACGCAACATCCTACTGACCAAATCCGTCCTTGCATCACATAATAACACAATCACCACAGTCACAGCTGCCACAGTCACAGTTTCCACAATCACAGTCCCCACAGTCACCCCCACAATCATTACATTCACAGCTCGGTTTGCAGTCTGAATCGTCACCCTGACTATCAGGAACAAGACAACAAACTAAGTCACATACGCTTCCAGGGTGATTGATACCGTTGCTTGGTTTATCGCAGGTTTCGCAAAGCATTAGCCAAGGACCACATGCCCTGCAAAACGCTGGATGATATTTGTACAGATAACAGGATATAATCACAAAGACAACGCCAGCTAATAGGACTCCCACTATTATAGTGATGTTCCTGAAAGTGCTTACCTTTAAGGAAAATCTGGTGTTGTATTTGTTAAAGTTGATATTTTTCTCAGTTTAACAGGTACATCTCTTAACTGTATATACTTGTCGTCGATAAGTTTCAAGGAACTCTTTCGTCGCTTAACACATTAGGATTATTTCTGTTTTGAAAAACAGAAAATTTTGGACGTCCTCAGACGGTTATGTTCCTCAAGTCGGCTCCTCGCTCAGTCGCTAATTTGACAATGCAATATTTTTTTACGGATCAAAAAGTCGGTGAGGAGAACCTGCCTTCTATAAATGGGCCGCCCCAGTCCACACCCCAATGGTTCTGTGTTTAACATTATAAATATTTTATTAAAAACACTGATGGTTTTAATGAACCGATTCTCCGGTTATTCTCCGCGAGGTAATGATAAAATTGGCTTCCTTTTAACAGTTTTCGGAAAAAGGAATACGGGAAAAGGGACAACTGAATTTTTAATCTCTATGAGAATCTGGGTTTTCAATGTTTTTTACAAGTATTGAGAGATGACAGAAGCGATCTTGGTTTGCAATCTCAAAGATCTGCTGATCATAATTTACGATCCGTTCGGAGAAATGTTTTTACGGCATTGTTAGAAATCTTAGACGGCCAGCATATCCATACAAATAAAGGTTTTTCTCCAGCTCAGGCATGTGGACAAAACACTGACATGTAGCACTTGATCTCTTTTCGACTTAGCAGATCAAAAATTACTTCGATTACTTCAATCGCTCTTAAACTGAATAGCCAGGGATATGCACAATCATCGATGGTTCTTTATTGGCTTAAACATATTCAATGGTGAACCCCTTTCGGGATAGAGCACAACGAGCATTACATACTCAAATCAAATGACCACGAGCAAACTGCGTTAATTTACGTAAATTTAATTTTGCATTTGGCAGAAAATTAAGTACAAGTTTATGAAGTGGAGTAGGGTACAAGCTTTTCATCTAGACATGCACAGCTACCCTCGGGGTATTGCACCTTTTTAGGTTGAAAATGATAATAATCGGCACTGATAAGGATAACAGTGACAGCAATCTTTTTAATAATCACTTTACAGACCCATTTTCGGCTTTCATAATTGTTGGCTCACACCAGAAGCGAAGTTAGTTTCAAGTAAGTACTTGATTCAAGTCCACTTGGAAATCTTAAGTCGCTGTGTAGAAGACATGACTTCACATTCGTGCACAAAGTATATTACTTGAAGTACAAGCTGTCAATCCTCTTTTCGTTTCTATTTTTTGATTGCTTTGAACTCAAACGGTTTTGAGCCTGATAGACATGCTTACGTACTTCGTTTTTCTACGAGTACTTAACAGCGACACAGAAAAAAAAATAAGCAAGCGACGTTTTCCTCTGTATTTCTTTAGAATGGCTCCGCCAAGGCGCTCTTTGGCAAAGAAATTGCTGTAGGGATTAGGGGTGTCCTCTTCCGCAACGTTCTTAGCTAACCAGTTTAATGTTTATCTGTCCACTTATTACTTGGCTTCACACTAGAGCTTCAAGTATAATGTAAGTGTACTTGGAACCTACTTTGAGTGGGAAGAGGTAAAATGTACATAATTAAACTTCACTGGGTGACCATGGAAACGTTCTTAGTTCAAAGATGCCGAAGTTCACCGTCAAGTATGGGTTACACCACACTTGACCAAAAAGAAATGGAAGCCATGTGCACGATGTGCACGTGCAGCGGTTCCAAGATTCTAATACTTGGCTTCTCACTAGAAGCTAAGTTTGTTTCAAGTAATAAGCGCTTGATTCACTTGCGTTTGGAAATCCTAAGTTGCTCTGTAGAAACATGGCTTCACACTTGTTGATAAAGTATATTACTTAAAGGAAAAGCTGTCAACTCTCCGTTCATTGGAATCTTGAAAGCCCTGCACGTGCACATCGTGCTCATGGCTTCCACTTCTTATTAGTCAAGTGTGTTCTCAAGTGTGGTGAAGACAAGATTCGAATGAACAGAGAGTTGACAGCTTTTCCTTTTAGTAATATACTTTGTCAACGAGTGGGAAGCCATGTTTCTACGGAGTAACTTAGGATTTCCAAGCACACTTGATTTAAGTGTGCATGTTTAATTACTTGAAACAAATTTAAGCTTATAATGTGAAGCTAAGTATTAGAATCTTGCAACCGCTAGTGTGCACATCTTGCACAAGGCTTCCATTTCTTATTGGTCAAGTGTGTTCTTAAGTGTGGTGTAGACCATACTCGGCGGCGAAATTCGGCTTAAGCTTCTTTGAACTACGATCGTTTCCATAATCACCAAGTAAAGTTGAAGTAGGTACATTTTACCCCATCACACTCAAAATAGCTTCCAAGTACACTTACATTGTACTTGCAAGGTCTAGTGTGAAACCAACAAATGTCCACTTTCCGACTGTATGAACAATGCACAACGGAATTTCGGCACGTGAAAATCGCCAGATTTGTACGGGCAAAATGAAAAGTGATACAGGCACGACTAAAACCGAATATTTCAAAATAGTGTCTAAATAATAAGGTACGTGGTTTTTCTTTTCACTGTCGTTTATTATGGCTTTTTAAGAAAGAACAACAACATGATATTAATTTGAGGAGGACTCGGAAAAAAAATCCGAGTCCCAGATGGGATTTGAACCCATGACCCTCCGTGATCTAGTCGGATGCTCTAACCACTTGAGCTACTGGAGACTCTATGGTCAGCAAGGGCCAATTTGTGGGTCTCGACTGGAACCGCATCACGCGGCTACACAGCCAAGTAATGATAGGCACA